TCCTATAAACTTGATATTTCTTAATGTAGCCAACCTAAAATTACAAGACAAACTAGCACTTATATCCAAAATTCATAATGTAGTAAAGTAATTCTAACAGATAACATTGTTTGAATCACAAATAAGGTACATTATCCATTTTCTGTCAAAAGTTAAAAAAGAAGCAGACCCCGCCTTCCCACACAGACCTGAAGCGGCGTGCTGTTCAAACTCAAACCGCATGCCAGTCCACGTTCACGCGTGGCACAGCACACAGGCAGCGCCGCGGCTCAGACCCACTTAACCTCAGGGAGACGCCCCCCTGGCGTTAGCTTGGGAGCCAGCATCAGACCGTAATGACATGCTAAAAGGCAGCTATCGAGAAGAATCCAGCAGAGTCTTATAAAAGCCTTCTGAGAATCACTGTGTTCAGTTAAACTCATGCCTGGGGATTAATACTAGTCATTTGGCAGTATATTTGTGTGAAGACATTTTTCAAAGACGAAATACAGAAGATCTTATTATAAATTAGCATTAACAGGCAGTTGAGTAAGGAAGAACTAAAAATATCTCTTATTGACTGACATCCTAGATGCCTGGTGCACGGAATTCGTGCACGGCTAGGGTCCCTAGGCCTGGCAGGCGATCAGGGCTGTTCTGAGGGGCGGCTGGTGGGGCGACCGGGGGCCCCTATTGGCACCAGCCTTGACCGGCCTGCCACTGCTCATTTGCCAGCCCTGCCCTCCTCTGCTGGATGACTGGCGGGGCACTTTGGGGGCCACCGCTGGCACTGGGCTTGGCTGGCCTGGGCCTGTGGGGTGGGAGCAGCTCCTGCGTTGAGCATCTGACCCCTGGTAGTCACTGCGCAAGATAGCAACCAGTCATTCTGCCATTTGGTCTATTTGCATATTAGGCTTTTATTATATAGGATCACATGGTCTTATATATAGAAAACCCTAAAGAAAGATGCTAAGAAAATTTTATTAACAATAGTGTAAAAAAATTAAAATACTTGGGAATAAGTTTAACAAAAATGTGTAAGACTTGCACATTAAAAACATAAAATGTCATTGAAAGAAGTCAGAGAAGACCTAACAAGTTGAAAAACACCCACGTTCATGATCAGAAGGTGTAATAGTATTCAGATAGCAATCTCCCAACGACCTGCAGATTCCACACAGTCTATCATAATTTCAGCTGCCTTTGTTATAGAAATTGGCAAACTAATCCTAAAATTCATATGGAAATGCTAGGGATTCAGAATGGCTAGAAGTCTTAGAAAAGAACAAAGTTGGAGGACTTACACTTCCCAATTTCAAAACTTACTATAAAGCTCCAGTAACCAAGACAGTTTTGTACGGAGAATCTAGAAATCTTTATATTTCTGGTTAGCTTGTTCTCAGAAAGACCTTTAATGGGAAGGTTTTTACAACACAAGGTGCTGGGACAGCAGGGTAGCCACATGCAAAAGAATGAAGTGGGATTCCTGCCTCATCCTGCATACAAATATTAGCCCAAAATGGACGATAGACCGAAGTGTAAGAGCTAAAACTATAAACCTGAGGAGAAAACATAAGAGTAAATCTTCATGACTTTGATTAAGCAGTGGTCTCTTAGATGTGGCCAAAGCACTAGCAGCCGAGGAAGACGGCGGCACTTTAGGTTTTATCCCAGTGAGAAACTGTGTTTCCTAGGGCACCATTAGATTAGGAAAATGAGAGCCAGCGCTGAGGTGGAGACTATTTGTAAGTCACAGGGTTGATGAGAGATGTGCGTTCAGAACAGACAATTTAGATACATAGCTCTTCAGAAGACTTGAATAGCTGTGTGTCTAAAGGCCAATAAAGTTATAAAAGATGCTGAATATCATTAGTTCTTGGGGAAATCAAATCCATGATGAGATACCATTTCACACCGACTAACAAATGTTGGTGAGGATGTAGAGAAATTGAAACCCTCATACCTTGCATTACTTGTGGACACAGACAATAGGGTGGGGAAGGCGTCGGAGGGGTGAGAACCGGGTGGAAAGGAGTAATGGGGAGGGGAGGGGACCATCTGTAACTCTCAGCAGTAAAGATTTTAGTAAATAACATGTTTGAGACGTGTTGTCAGGCTGCCTGCCCTCCAGAAGCACTGACCACATGTCCATATGAATTTTAGGGGCCGGGGAGGCGTGCAGGAGGCAGCTAATCAGTGATTCTCATCATTGATGTTTCTCTCTCCCTCTCCCTTCCTCCTGAAATCAATAAAAACGTTAAAAAAAATATTAGGACCTTTGAATGTGTGCTACCTCTGCTGGGCTATATAGTAGCTTCAGTAGAGAAACCTATAATAATAAAAGCATAATGTGCTGATTAGACCAGGTGATCTTCCAGACGAAGCCGGTACTGCGAGGGAAGCCCGGGTGCCAAGGGCTGGATGCAAGGCCAGGTCCCGGCGCCAGAGGGAAGCCGGTGCCGGCAGCTGCGGAAGGAAGGCCTAGTCTGGGGTGAATTTTGTGCATCGGGCCTCTAATAGGGTTATAAAACTCGGGAAAGAGAAAGCCAGTCTCAGCTCAAACAGAAAGGATTCCTGCTTTGCATAATTACACAAATAACTTCTTACCATGTATTACGCACTGTGAACAACAGAGAGCTCTAACGGTTCCCCTGCCTTCAGAAGCGTGGGATCTCCATTGTCACGGTTCCGTCCTCTGTTCCCTTTTGAAGGCCAGCCCTGTCTCCGGAAGATATCACTGATAAGAATCGCAGGTTTCAGGTGCAGCCCCGCCAAACACGCCAGGTAGTGGAAATATACCGCTGGCTCTTCCTTGGCCCTCACACACATTTTCCCTTGGAAAATGGAATAGACACCACTCAGCCAGAAAAGATGTTTTTCAGGTCATTAAGTCTGCAAACATGCCTAAGGAATTAAGTAAAGGATGCTAATTCTGATGAGTGTGAAGGAAGGATGGACCTTCTTGCAACCTTATCTGGTGGCATAAAAGTAGATTCAATTGTTTAAAGTAAAAACTGGTTTAGACAGTTGATGGTATATTATTGATCTTAAAAGATCTTTTGAATGAATTGTTATGCTTTTCTTTTATTCCATCTCATTTACTTACAGCTGTTTCCTCAGGGCCCACTGGAGGCCAAGTACTCTTCTGGATAATATCCTTAATTTTGACATTGTGTGTCTCTTATCTTTTTTTGTCTCTCCGCTGGTATTACTCATAATTTATCAAATAAAGGCTTTTAAAAAGACAGAACAGCCCTGGCTGTTGATAAGTGGTTAGAGCACCAGCCTGAGAACCAGAGGTTTGAGAGTTTGAATCCTGGTTAAGCGCATGTACCTGGGGTGCTGGTTTGATCCTGAGCCCTGGTTGGGCGCTTGGGGGAGGCAGCCAATCTATGTGTCTCTCTCACATTGATGTCTGTTCTCCCCCTCCCTCCCTCCTTTCCTCCCTCCCTCCGCCTCCTCCTTTCCTCTCTCCTCCACTCCCTCACTCTCTCTAAAAATATCCTCAGGTGAGGATTAACATCAACAACAAAAGACAAAACAAAGCAAATCGATTAAAAATATTAAATTTCGACAGTCCCAGTCTAAGGAAATAGATAAGTAAACTTAACGTCTTGTAATATTATGTAGCCCCAAAGAATTTGTAGTAACATGGTGGTAATGTTCACACTATAATAAGTTAAATCAAATTAAAATTATACAAATAGTGTGAATTCAACTATGTGTCTTAAAGCATAAGAAAAAGCCCAGAGGAAGCAGACCGGATAGTTGTAGTGTTCACTGGCCGTAGGTCATGTGCCTTCTTTCTTCCTACTTTTCAGGGTTTCTTCTTATAATGGACATAAAGTAGAGGGAAAAATAAACTCTAAATACTAACAAAATAGTTTGTATCTGTTTTTTTTGTTGTTAATCCTCACTGGAGGATATATTTTTTCCCATTGATTTTTAGAGAGAATGAAAGGGAGAGAAGGAGGGGGAAAGAAAAGAACATAAATATGAGGAAGACACTTCAAATGGTTGCCTCCTGCACACAACCTGACCAGGAACCAGACCTACAGCTCAAGCACACGCTTTGACCAGGAATCAAATCTGAGACCTTCCGCCAGAACCGGTTTGGCTCAGTGGATAGAGCGTCAGCCTGCGGACTGCAAGGTCCCAGGTTCAATTCCGGTCAAGGACATGTACCTTGGTTGCGGGCACATCACCAGTAAGGGTTGTGCGAGAGGCAGCTGATTGATGATTCTCTCTCATCGATGTTTCTAACTTTCTATCCCTCTTTCTTTCTCTCTGTAAAAAATCAATAAAATATATTAAAAAAAAAAATCTGAGACCTTTCAGTCCTCAGGCAATGCTCTAATCACTGAGTACTCCTGCCAGGGCTGGTGTGCTTTTTGTTTGTTTGTTCTTTTTTAGACTGTAAGCTATTGAGAGAGGGATTTAGCCATTTAACTGTTAAATCCTGAGCACTCGCTATTGAAGAGTGGGAACTATAGAAGAGAGGACACTTAATTGTGTATATAATTTTGCACTCATACTAAAATTTAAGTAATACTTGAATTTATATGCAAACTAGAGGCCCAGTGCACAAATTTGCACAGTGGGGTCTGGCCAGCCCGCCTGATTGGGGGGGCGTGGTGGGGTGGGCTGGAGTGGGGGTCGTGGGCGGTTGGCAGGCTGGCCCTGCCCCCTGGTCAAATTCCTGGTTGAGGGGACAATTTGCATATTATCCATTTATGATATAGGATGTCTGAGTCGTTTATTAGCATTTGCTATAAATATGTGGGTCAGATTTAGTAAGATCATAAATAATAAGTCATAAGTAATCAGTAGTCTCAGGAGTAGATACCAAACCAGTGGGTCATCTGAAGTGTTCTGATGGATAATGTTCTGTGGTCACTTGGTTAGTGTGTACCAGTTTATGAATTAATACATTTAGTAGGGGATGTGTAAGTATGTGGGAAGTAGTGTGTGGAGCTGGTTATTTATGCTTGGCCATTGAAACGTGTTCAATCTTACTTTAGGAGAATGACATCTTCCTGGGCTGGGAAAAAGGAGCTTACAAGAAATGGGGGAAGAGCAAGAAGAAGGGCTCAGATCTAACTCTGGAAGAGATGAAAAAACAGGCTGCTGTCCAGTGTCTCCGGTCTGCATCTGATGAAGTAAGCTATATTTTATTTCGGATATTTAAGAAGAGAAAAGGGGTGTTTAAAGTCTACACGTATAACATCTTGACTCAAACCTTAGGAAAAATTATCTATTAGTTATCATGTAACATAAACATTCCTATTTTTTTTTTAAATAAATTTTTATTGTTCATATTATTACAAATGTTCTTTCCCCCTCCCCCCTCCATTGCTCTCCTCCACCAGGTTCCCGCCCCACCCTCTGCCCTTTCCCCACCCCCTATTGTCCTCATCCATAGGTGACAGTTTATGTTCAGTCTCTTCCCACACCCCCCTCTCCCCTTTTTCCCGAGAATCATCAGTTCACTCCCCTTCCATTCCTCTGATTCTATTATATTCAACAGTTAATATTGTTCATCAGGTGTTTTTTTTTAATTTCCTTGGTTTTTAGATTCACTTGTTGATAGTTACATATTTGTTGTTCATAATTTTTATCTTTATTTACTTTCTCTTCTGAAAGAACCCCCTTCAGCAATTCATATAATTCTGGTTTGGTGATGATGAACTCCTTTAGCTTTTTTTTTTTATTAGTGAAGCTCTTTATCTGACCTTCGATTCTGAGTGATAGCTTTGCTGGATAGATTATCTTTGGCTGTAGGTTCTTACTATTCATCACCTTGAATATTGCCATTCACCTTGCCATTCCCGTCTGGCCTGCATGGTTTCTGTTGAGAAATCAGCTGACAATCATATAGGTGCTCCTTTATAGGTAACTACCTTCTTTGCTCTTGCTGCTTTTAATATTCTCTGTCTTTTGCTCTTGGAATTTTAATTATGATTTGTCTTGGTGAGGTCCTCTTTGGATTCCTTTTTGTTTGGAGTTCTGTGCGCTTCCTGGACTTGTAAATCTAATTCTTTCACCAGGTGGGGGAAGTTTTCTGTCACTATTTCTTTCAGTATGTTTTCGATATCTTGCTCTCTCTCATCTTCTGGGACCCCCATAATTCTGATGTTGGTTTGCTTGAAGTTGTCCCAGAGGTTTCTTACATTATCTTCAATTTTCTGGATTCTCTTGCCTTCTAGCTTCTGTGGAGGAGTGTCTTCTGGCTCTTTATGTTCCAAATCTTTGACTTGATTCTTGCGATCTTCCATTCTGTTTTTAGGACTCTGTATAATATTTTTTATTTCAGACAATGTATTCTTTATTTCTTGTTGATCCCTTATCATTTCTTGTTGATTCCTTATTAATTCTAGTTGATCTCTTTTTATATCTTCATAGGTCTTATCGATCTTTTCTAGGAAATTCTTGAAAAACCTTATAAGCGTAGATTTGAACTCTATATCCAGCCGCTTTTTGTCCTCCATTTCTTTCGTTTGTGATCTATTTTGTCGTCGCATTTCGCAGCTACAGATGGGGCGGGGTTTCAGGGTGGAGCCTGCAGCTTTGGCTTCCGTCAGCCCCGCCCTATGCGGGTCCTTCAGTGCTCGCTGCTGGCCCCTCTGTGAGAAAGGCGCCCTCGATTTTCGCCTGCTGCCAAACAGTCAATGCTCTCCCCCAATGAGCCCGGTATTGGGGTTCAGTTCAGTTGGAGGTGTGGTTGGAGGTGGCGTTCAGAGCAGACTGGAGCCTCTGTCTCCTTCCCGCCAGGCAACCCCGCGGCACAGCCGGCCGGCCCTTCTCTGCGCGCACTGTGCGCGCCGCCGGGGACCCCCTTTCGCCGCTTCCCCGGGTTCCGCCTGGCAGCCCAGCTCCCTCTGTGTGAGCCTGGGTCCCCGGGGTCTGGCCTAGGCCTGGGGTTCAGAGCAGTCAGAATGGGGCCCAGCACAGTGGGAGCGTTTATCTCCTTCCCGCCAGGGAACGCCCGCCAGGCACTCCGCCGCCCTCCTCTCCGGCTCCCTCCTCTCCGCGCCGTGCATCTCCGTACCTCAGGCTTTTCCAGCTCCTCCGCGCTTCCTTCTGGTTATCTCCTTGCTTCTTGTTGTAGAATTTCCAGCCAGTCGACTTTCCTGTAGTTCTGGGTAATGTCCATTTTATATTTTAGTTGTATTTTATTGGAATTGTTGTGTGCAGCTGCGGCTAGGTGTTTACCTGGGCAGCCATCTTGGATCCTCCCCCCTATTTTTTTCTTTATGGTGTTTATATAATGTATTCTTCTATATGTGTCAGTAATTAGAGTATACATAAAAATTTTATGTCCTTTTCTCCATTTAACATATAAAACATCTTCATTCCTTTTAGTGTCTAAGTTAGATTTCATGAAATAATATTCCAACAGCAATATAACATACTTCTTATTGCTGGATACTTAGCTTACTCTTGATTTTGTTGTTGTTGTTACGTTCTCCAGGATATTTTCATGTATTACTTTTTCCTTAGTTTATATATTCTTTAAAAAAAAAAATCTTTATCCAAGGATATCCTACATAATAAAAGAGTAATATGCAAATTGATCAAATAGTGGAACAACCAGTCGCTATCATGCACACTGACCACCGGGGCGAGACTCTCACTGCAGGAACTGCCCCCTGGTGGTCAGTGCACCCCACAGGGGAGTGCCGCTCAGCCAGAGCCCTGAGTTGGGCTCACGGCTGGCGAGCGCAGCAGCGGTGGCAGGGGCCTCTCCCGCCTTTGCAGCAGCACTAAGGATGTCTGACTGTTGGCGTAGGCCTGCTCCCAGGCTGTGAGAGGCACAGGCCGGGCTGAGGGATCCCCACAAGCGCACAAATTTTGTGCACCAGGCCTCTATATTTTTTAATATATTTTTGTTGATTTCAGAGAGGAAGGAAGAGGGAGAAAGAGAAACATCAATGATGAAAAAGTATCATTGATCGGCTGCCTCCTGCACACCCCCATTGTGGATTGAACCCACAACCCAGGCATATGACCTTGATCGAATCGAACCTGCAACCCTTCAGTCTATAGGCTGATGCACTATCCACTGAGCCAAGCCGTGTGTGTGTGTGTGTGTGTGTGTGTGTGTGTGTGTGTGTGTGTATATATATATATATATATATATATGTTTTAAGTATATTACTGATTTTTAGAGAGTGAGGAGGGAGAGGGATAAATAGAAACATCCTTAAGAAGCATCTTTAATCAGCTGCCTCCTGCATGCCTCCTGCTGGGGATCAAACTCAAAGCCTGGGCATGTGCCCTGACAGGAATTGAACCATGACCTCCTAGTTCATAGGTCAACGTTCAACCACGAGCGATGTCTGCCGGGTTGTTTCCTCTTTTTTTTTTTTTTTTTTTTTTTTTTTTTTAAGTTGTGTGACCTGATGTGGGGATTTTTGTGTGGTTACCACTATGTTTATAGGAAATAAACTTGCATATGGTACCGTAGTGTTCTTTTTCTTTTGAATGCATCTGCTCTTCATCTTCCTTTGCCAGTTCAGATTTTTTTCCCCTCCCCTGTTAAATGTTTTTGCTGCCACAAATTATTCCCGTTTATGCTGTAAGTTTTTTGGTGATGTTATTCATAGTGTTGTGATCTTATGTTCTTTATTTTAGGTAGAATAATATCCTTGAATATTTCCTGTAATGGAGGTTTTCTGATGATAAAATCCCTCAGCTTCTGCATGTCTGTGTCTGAGAATGTCTTATTTGTCCACATTTAAAGGATACTTTTGCTGGATATATTATTCGTGGCTGGCAATTTCTCTCTGACGTTTGAATATTTGGCTCCACTCTCTTCTGGCTTATAGGGTTTCTGCTGAGAAGTCAGATGAAGTTCGGATAAGTTTTTCTTTGTAGATCACTTCCTTCTTTTTCCCTGGCTGCTTTGAGAATTTTCTTTTTCATTAATTTTTTGCAGCTTTAATACCAAGTGCCTTGGAAAGAGCTTCTTTGGACTGAGGTAACTAGGTGTTCTGTTTGCTTCTTGGATTCGAGGCTTGAATCCTTTCCCTAGGTTTGGGTCGTTCTCACCCACTATTGTTTGAATAGACTCTCCGTTCCATGCTCCCTCTCTTCCTCCAGAATTCCTCTAACTCCAATGTTGCTGCTTCTTGTAGTGCTCTTCATTTTGTTTATGTCCAGGTCTCTCTCGCTGCGTCATTTCTAGACTACTGCCTTCAACATCACCAATTCTTTCCTCCATCTAGTTGGCTCTGTTTTCTAGTCTCAGTAGTTCTCTCTTAATCTCTTTAATTGCATGCTTCATTTCTGAGATTTCTGATTGGTTCTTGTTAAGTTTTCATTTCTTTAGTAAAGTACTCCTTTTGTTCATTGATCTGTTTTTTGAGTGCATTGAATTGCCTATCTGTATTTTCTCGAATTGTTGAGTATTTTCAGAACTGCCATCTTGAAATCTCTGGCATGTATATCACACATTTCCATGTGTTCCAGCTTGCTTTCTGGGGAATTTTCATTTTCTTTCTGTAAGTAACATCCTTGTTACTGGGTTATTCATGGTATTTGGTTCTGCTTTGCTTGGCTGCTGCTTTGCTATTCTGTCTATAATTAATGAAGAGGCCTTCCTACTGCTTTCCAGTAGATGGTGCTGAATTGCAAGATTTCTTACTCTGTGACCTCCTAGTCTAACCTCCCCGGCTTCCTGAAGACACTCTGCCTGGTGGGGTTTGTTTTACCTTCCCTGTAGTGGCGACCCCTGTCCTCCACGGTGCCCCGAGCACCCCTCCTGGGCATCAGGCACAGAGGGAAGCTGCAGTTCTCCGGCCCCAGCTCCTGGTTTACAGATATTGCACTGCGGGACCCAACTCCCCGGCCAGCGGGAGGGGAGGTGTGGGAATTGAAGCAGCAGCAGGGCTCTGTGGTCTGTTTTTGTTAAAACACTGCCTCCTGGCCTGACAGCGGAGAGCCGCAGGACAGACCGTGGCCCTGTCAGGCGCCTGTGACTCAGCCCCTGTGCGCTCCCTCGCAGCTCGCAGGGCTGTGTCTGCGTGCCGTCTGCACTCTCCGCCTTTTTCCTCTCCTGGTTTATTTCCGGTGCCCACCTTTACATGTGTCCATGCACAGGTCTCTCAAGCATGTTTCTGTGTGGAGCAAGGACTTCTCTGTTGGATTATAGCTGATTAAGTTGTTGGCCTTTCAGTAGGAGAGGCCAAGGGCTCTCTCACGCTGCCATTCCTCTGATGACACTCTCTCGCATTCTTGAATGCACTGTAGATGTGGTGTTAAAATGTAGTTTTTAAGATTATATAATAGCTTATATATTATAATTGGGAGAGCAAATAACATTTCTCATTGGCAGCTCCAAATGAACAGTTTGGTGCACCTGCCAGGATGGCAGGAACAATGCCCTTTTTGCTTCTCCCTGGCTATCACAATGGTCGAGGGGTCGAATGACTAACGCTGGATGCTGGGATGGTCAAGGACGGGAAACAAACACCTGGTGGGTCAAGCTTGCTTTTTCTTTTTTAAAATGTATTTTCATTGATTTAAAAGAGTTAGGGAGAGGGGAGAGAGAGAGAAATATCAGTGATGAGAGAGAATCATTGATTGGCTGCTTCCTGCATATGCCTCACTGGGGATCAAGCCCGCAACCCAGGCCTGTGCCCTTACCTGGAATCGAACCCAGGATCCTTCATTTTGCAGTTCTATCCAGTGAGCCAAACCAGCTAGGGCTAGAGCTTGTTTTTAGGCACAGAGTGAAGCAGTAAGTTCATTGTTTCTTTGCCATTAAACAATGAGAACAAGTATTTGTGCTTCTATGTTGTATTACTGTCCAGGACAACTCCATTACAGTGTGCGGAGGAGACAGCATGAGAAAGAATATCTAGCCTCTCGTTGTGCGCAAGTTGTAGCGTGCAGACTATTAGGCAGCCTGCGCCTTGGTGCTGAAGGCAGAGGCGGAGGCGAGCCTGAGGCTCGGAGCTCTGCCCTGGGACTGGCACTGGCTTCAGAAGCCCAGTGACATAGCGGGTCAGCTGACGCGGGGTAGGCTCCTGATCGGGAGGAGGGGGAATAAGCGGCCATCTACCCGCCTGAGCGTTATGGTAAGCGTCTTTCCGGGGCATTGTGAGGGGGAGCGTGCTCATGCTGAGGGCGGCCCTGGGCCGGAGGAGTGTCTCTCAGGAAAGGCTAAGTCTCTTTTGGCCCATTTCCCAGTCTCCCTCCGGCCGGTCTCCCCAGCGAAAGCTGTGAACTGATGTGGATAGAATGTCATAATCATCGCTACATTAACTGTTTGCATGTGATCTTGCTCTTAAACTGCTCACACTGTAACGCCGTGCTTCTTGCTTGGGAGTCTGTAAAACTTGTGCTGAGTCATTCTGCGTGGAGCCAGTGGGCGAAGTTCTATTCTTAGCTGCAGGCCCAGCGGCGGAGGGGGGAGCCCTGCACCTGTTGGGTGCGGCCCACCCAGCGAGACTCAGGTCCCGTCTGAACACTTCAGATCTACATGGAACGAAGACGAGGGTCTATAAAACACGGTCTCTTTTCTTGTGCACGGTGGAAGGTTTTCTTCCTCCAGTGAGAAGCAGAAGTAGACTTTTTAAAGTTTACAAGTTTACATAAGTAAAAGGTTATTTGCTTGTGCCAGTTGCAACATTCATTTTTCTTTAAAGTTGGCTCTGATTCTTCCCCTCCCAACCCCCCTCCCACTTTGCCCTGTTCCCGCTCAGAGACTAGCACTTGCCCATGACCCTTAAAGGAAAACGGCCCCCGGGCCGGCTGCTCCCTGCCGCTCCCCGTCAGCCAGGAGGGCTCGTTTCAGAAAGAAAAATCACTTTGTTTTCTTCCGACCATGAGCTCCTCAAGGACTCGGATGAACTTTTTGTGACTTTTCTTTTTAAAATAACTGACGTGTTTTCTTTTTCTTTTTAAATTGATGTTAGAACAAGGGGGAGAGAAACAACAATTGGCTGCTTCCTCACTCGCCCCTATTGGGGATACAACCCACAACCTGAGTATGTGCCCTGACCAGAAACCAAGCCTTCGGTATGTGGGGCAGCCCGCCGGCCAGGGCTGCGGGTTTTTGTTTTTTTAATATATCTTACTGATTTTTCACAGAGAGGAAAGGAGAGGGAGAGAGAGCTAAAACATTGATGAGAGAGAAACCAGCTGCCTCCTGCACATCCCGCAACCAAGGTACATGCCCTTGACCAGAATTGAACCTGAGACCTTTCAATCCGCAGGCTAATGCTCTATCCACTGGGCCAAACTGGTTTCAGCGGTTTTCCTTTATATGAATTTAGCGCCAGACCTTGTGGCGTAGCGGGGAGTAGGATGGTGACTTTCTGCTGTGTGGAGGGCACTTAGGTCCTTAGGCTGCCCACCAGCAGGATGCTATGCCCCTGGGAAGACTGGTGATTTTTTCAGTAAGTGCCATTGGATATATTAATACTTATTAGTAAAATATGAATATTAAATTGGGTCTACAGATGTATAATGTTAAACTTCTGTGTTCATTTAAATATCGTTCATGTATTTCTTTTGGAACATGGAACATTAATTTCTTTATAAAAGCTTCATATTAAAGCAAAAGAATACAAATGCCTGGTTGCTGCGTGCCCGGCAGCAGATGACTGTGATCTTGTTCCCACACAGAGCTCCGGGATCGAGACGCTGGTGGAGGAGCTCTGCTCCCGCCTCAAGGACCTGCAGAGCGAGCAGGGTGAGTGCTGCTCAGGCCGGTCCGCCGGCGCGGTGGTCACAGTCCTCGGCCATCTAGATGCTAAGTGACGGATTGCGAATTGTGATTAAGAATTTTCTGTTCAGATTAGCATTAGCCAAGGTGAGTGGGTATAGAAAGTCCGTGAGTGCAGAATTTTGTGGGAAAATATTTTTGGAATCTAAACAGATGTTCTCTCTCTCTCTGATGACACATACCCAGGGGATTTCAGTTTCTCAGTCAGGGGCCTCCAGAGCACTGGCTCGGCGATGAGACAGACAAGCCTCACCTCGCCGTGTTCACGGGGTGTAGCCAGAGACTTCCCCCGGCACACTGCAGACATAGGTGGTTATTACCAAGATAAACTGCCACAGGAGCCTAGTGGTTTCCCCAAAGCTCCAGAAGTGTTTAAAAACATGACACATCTTTCTCAATTTTTGTTTCTCAACAGAAGAGAAGATTCGCAAGAAGGTAGAAGGGTCTCCCTCCCCAGAGGCAGAACTGTCCCCAACAGCAAAGGATCAAGTGGAAATGTACGTAAGACTCGCTTAGTCCCAGAGCGCACACTTGTTAACACCGGAGTGAGAATTGCTGCCTGGTTTACAGTTTTGTTCGTCTTGTATGTAGTTTTGTATTTTATAATTCAGGGAACATTGAGCACTCACTTGCATATTTGACATGGAATTCAAAGGCGAATAAGATTCTATCCTTAACATACATGTTGAATCAATATTTGTGCGGTGACTGAAGGAAACAAGGTGATTATTTGTGGTCCATTCATGTCCTGTGCCCGTGGAAGCTCCCATCATCCTCTGCGGCAACGGAAAGCCGTTGTGCTTACCTTGTTGGCACACAGGAAACTAGGTGCCCACTGCTGGCTCCAGCCACGGGCCTTGCCAGACATGTTTGCTGAGGGCACTTTTAGTTCTTTCTTTGTAATGTTAGTATTACAATCAGCTGCACTATAAGCAGACTTCTTTATTATACATTTTATTTGAATATTCTGAGCCGCTAAGACTTAAGGAAAGGATAGCATTGGGTGGGCTTGTGTAAACCTGCGCTGTCCACCACGGTGTCCTAAGCCATGTGTGGCTGTTGGGCCCTTGAAATGTGGCCACTTCAAAACGATGTTCTGTGAATATCAATTCCAGCAGATTGCAGGGACTTCGTGTAAAAAGGAACATAAACTACTCGGTTAATACCTTTTAACACCAATTACATGTTGAAATGATGTTCCATATCCTGGTTATGTTTGGTTAAGTAAAGTATATTATTGAAATGAATTTCACTGTTTTTTATACTTTTAATGCGACTCCCAGAACAGTAAGGATACATCTGCGGCACACAGTATGTTTTGAGTAGTTCTGCTGTGGACTGAGCGGGAAACATGGGCTCTTTGTGAGCGTGGCCTTTAAGTGCTTCACATGTGACCTTGACTGTGGCCCCCAGAATGACAGCCCCCTTGGTAGCCAGCCTGCCCAGAGACTACTGTCTTTGCAGTCTGACTCGCTGTGAACTCTCCTGGGCTTCCAGGTTCCCAGCAAACCCAAAGCTCTTCTCCCACTTTCCGGCCTGTAAAGCCCGCCTTCCGAGGTCCCATCCGCACGCGGGTCCCTGTGTGAGCAGGCTCCGGTCCGGGCACATTGTGTCCCCGGCCCTGCACCGCTCCCTCTCTGGGCCGTGCAGGCGCACTGTGGGCCACCTGCTCTGGCCGGCCCAGGCCTCGCTGGCACCTGGGCTGCACACTGGCAGACCTTCACCCCTGCTACTTCTGAGGGTCTCCTTACTGCTGGCATCGTGCTGTCTCCTGAGAAACAGCAGTAATGACAACAGTCACTCAAGAAGATGCTGTCAGGACTCATTTCACATGCTAATCCCTTTACTCCCCACAACTCTGTGAGGTAGATACTGTTATTAAGGTGACATGCTTGAGGTCACATAGCTAGACATGGACAGGATTTGATACTACACTTGATCTTAGCCAAAAGGCCGAGAAGCTATTGGAAATGGACAGGATTTGAATTCAGGAAGTGTGGCTTCAGAGTTTCTGCTCTCACCTGCTTGGCTGTACAGGTTTTCAGCTACATCCACTCCGAGCCTCACAGAGCCTGTGAGGTAAGTCACGTCATCTCCACTCCACAGCTGAGCAAAGACAGCCGCGGCATAAGTAAGTAGTTTAAAGCCGTGGCATAGTGAGAATGGCATTTAGGCATCTCTGACCAAAAGGTTACATTTTCCCACGATATCGTATATTTCACTTAAGGCTTTTTAGTTAAAATCCAGCCTTTAAAGATAAAACTGTCATTTTACATATTTTAATATTCTTATATTAAAGCTTATCTTGGTACTTGGTACATTGGACTAACTGTAAAGGCTATTTTACTATGTTAGTAATAATCTAAAAGTTAGTGACTCATGGATAATGTAACCATTGACTGTTAAGATGAATGTCCGTCTTCCGCTTGGTCACATTGTTCACTAGGGCTGTTACATGTCAGTGCCCTGCCCAACTCTCTGGCTGTCTTGCAGGTACTACGAAGCGTTTCCCCCGCTGTCGGAGAAGCCAGTTTGCCTGCAGGAGATCATGACCGTGTGGAACAAGTCCAAAGTCTGCTCTTCCTCGAGCTCCTCGTCATCTTCCACCGCGCCCCCGGCCAGCACAGACACGGCGTCCCCCAAGGACTGCAACAGTGAGGGCGAGGCCAGCAGGGACAGAGGTGAGGCGGGGCCCCCCGCTGGCCACGCGAAAACCCCGAGCAGGAGTGAAAGCGAGAAGGAGAACAAATTTGGGAACGGCACAATCGAAGAGAAGCCTGCTTTGTACAAAAAACAGATCCGACACAAACCCGAAGGCAAGGCCCGCCCTCGCTCCTGGTCTTCCGGCTCCAGTGAGGCAGGCTCCAGCTCCAGCGGCAACCAGGGGGAGCTGAAAGCGTCCATCAAGTGCGTGAAAGTCAGACACAAGGCGCGCGACCTCCGCAGCAGGAAGGGGCGGAGCGGGCAGGGCAGGCTTCCGCTGAGGCAGGGCGAGAGGGCCGAGAGGGGCGCCCACGTGGGCGGCGGCGGCAGCAGCAGCAGCGGCGGCGGCTCTGGCAGACAGCTGTGCAGGCGGGCGAAGAGGCCACTGAAAGAGGCGGGCAGGAGGGACACGGACAGCACGGAGGACAGAGACCTGCACCTGGACAGCAGGAACGACAAGGAGTACAAAGAAGAGCCGCTGTGGTACACCGAGCCGATCGCAGAGTATTTCGTTCCCGTGAGCAGGAAGAGTAAACTAGAGACCACGTACCGGAACCCGCAGGAGGCGCGGGACCCGACGGCAGAGGTGGTGGGGGAGCTGTCCGACTCCGTGCACGGTCTCTGTCTCAGCAATAGCAGCGTTCATAAAGCATACCTCGCAGCGGGTACTTTCATCGACGGTCACTTTGTAGAAATGCCTGCGGTTATCAATGAGGAGATTGACCTCCCCGGGACCTCGTTCTGTTCTCTCCCGGAGGACAACAGCTACCTGGATGATATTCATCTGTCAGAGTTAACACACTTCTATGAAGTGGATATTGACCAATCCATGTTGGATCCTGGTGCCTCAGAAACAATGCAAGGAGAAAGTCGGATTTTGAATATGATTCGACAAAAAAGCAGAGAGAGAAGCGATTTTGAGGCAGAATGTTGCATAGTGTTAGATGGGATGGAGTTGCAAGGGGAACGTGCAATATGGACAGATTCCACCAGCTCCGCGGCCGCCGAGGGCCAGTTCCTGCAGGGCCTGGGCAACCTGGCGCAGTTCTGGGAGTGCTGCTCGTCCAGCTCCATGGATGCTGACGGCGAGAGCTTCGGGGGAGAGTCTCCGATCAGACTCTCCCCCATCTTAGACGGCGCGGCCCTCAACCCGCATTTGCTTGCTGGCAATCAAGAGCTCTTCTCAGATATTAATGAAGGATCTGGTATAAACTCTTGTTTTTCAGTGTTTGAAGTGCAATGCAGTAATTCTGTTTTACCATTTTCTTTTGAAACACTCAACTTGGGGGATGAAAATACAGATTCTAGTGTGAACACGCTTGAGAAAACACAGTCCAGATTGCTAATATGGACCAGAAATAGTGCCTTTGAAGAAAATGAACACTGTTCTAATCTTTCCACGAGAACCTGTAGTCCGTGGTCCCATTCAGAAGAAACTCGTTCAGACAATGAGACGTTAAGTCTCCAGTTTGAAGAATCCACGCAGTTTAATGCAGACGATATTAATTATGTAGTTCCTAGAGTCTCGTCAAATTATGTAGATGAAGAACTTCTAGATTTCTTGCAAGATGACACTTGCCAACAAAACAGTAGAACTTTAGGAGAGATCCCTACTTTAGTTTTTAAAAAAAAATCGAAGCTAGAATCGGTCTGTGGTATTCAGCTAGAACAAAAGCCAGAGAACAAGACCTTCGAAACCACGCCCGTGCGAGGGGCCGGCAGCCCGGCTGGGGACGGCTACGGCCGGGGGGCCATGAAAGACATCTGGGCGCAGCTGGCGGGGAGGGACTCTGTGGCGCCGGCGGACGTGAACAACTACTGCTGCTGTCTGGACGCCGAGGCCGAGGCCGAGCCGCTCCGCGAGCCCAGCAAGGCCGTGCAGCGCTCCGAGTACCGCCTGTGGGACGGGCAGAAAGAGGACCCGGAGAAGCGGGCCTTCGCGTCCGGCGAGCTGTCCCAGGTGGACGGCGGCGACTACACCACGCCCTCCAAGCCCTGGGACGCGGCCCAGGAGAAGGAGAACGCGTTCATCCCGGGCGGCGTGTACGGGGAGCTGAAGACCTTCAGCAGCGCCGGGGAGTGGGCCGTGGTGCCGCCCGGCCACGCCAGGGGCAGCCTGCTGCAGTGCGCGGCCTCCGACGTGGTCACCATCGCCGGCACGGACGTCTTCATGACGCCGGGCAACAGCTTCGCCCCTGGCCACCGGCAGCTGTGGAAGCCCTTCGTGTCCCTGGAGCAGAGCGACCCGCCGAGGACGGGCGAGGGCGGGCTCAACAAGGGGTTTTCCTTGGTCTTCCACGAAGACTTCCTGGGAGCTTGCGGCAACTTCCAAGTGGAAGATCCAGGACTCGAATATTCATTCTCTTCCTTCAACTTCAACAATCCGTTCTCACAGGTTCTCCACGTGGAATGCTCCTTGGAACCCGAAGGGATCGCATCGTTCAGCCCTAGTTTTAAACCGAAGTCCATCCTCTGTTCCGATTCCGACAGCGATGCCTTCCACCCCAGGATCTGTGGCGTGGACAGAACCCGGTACAGGGCCATTCGGATCTCGCCCCGGACTCACTTCCGCCCCATTTCCGCTTCGGAACTGTCCCCTGGAGGGGGCAGCGAGTCCGAGTTCGAGTCCGAGAAAGACGAAGCCGGTGTTCCCCTTCCTCCTCGGGCTGAAGCGGTCGAAGATCCGCAGGCAGACCTGAAGCCCCTGGAGGAGGACGCGCAGAGGGAAGGCCATTACTACGGGAAGTCGGAGCTGGAGTCGGGGAGGTTCCTGCCCCGGCTGAAGAGGGCGGGCATGGAGAAGAGTGCGCAGACGTCCCTGGACTCGCAGGAGGAGCCGGCCCCGTGCCTGGACGGCCGCGGGGGCCAGCCCCCGGGAGCCGGCGCCGAGAGCTCGGAGGCAAACTGTAAGATAATGGCCCCGTGTGAGGAAGAAGCTAGTCATTTCTGTGGCTGCAAAGCGGGCTGTCAGTTCCCTGCCTGTGATGACGGCCCGGTTCCTCCCGGACAGCTGGAGGAGGTATGTGTCCGTGTGTGGGGTCCAGAAAGGGGTTTGACGGACTTACCCCCAGAACAGACAAGGAAGGATAGCGGTAAATTACTGGGGAACGAGCGTAACTATCTTAAAATGGATCATCCTTATGATTTTACTAAGGACTTAAAATGGACTGAGGTTAATAAACTTTAACTAGACATTTCATGCAGAGAAAAAACACTTAAAAATGGTGGGTCTAAGATTCTCATGTGTTGTCTTAACATGTATGTATTTTGCTTAAAGCAAAACCCAATACCTAAGCGTGACAGCTTGCCCAGTTGGTGAGTCAGAGACAGGAGGCTTTTTACTCTTCCAGAGGCGCTTTTGGTGGCAGCCGGCGCTAGAGCAGTGGGGTCAGACCGCCTCGGTACTTGAGTTCTGGCTGAAAAAGAATTCAGAGCCAAACTAGAAGAGAACATTTGTTTAAAAATCACAGAGGTAGAAGTAATTTATAGAAGAACTGTGCTTAGGAAACAAGCTGTAGAGGGAAAGAAGTGAGGAAGGGGGAGGTGCCATGCTTGGGGGGGGGGGAGGCACAGCCATGCTCCCTGGGGAGAAGGTACTGGGTCCCCACCCTAAGGTTTCAAGGGCGGAGAGTGTAGGGGAGGGAGGCCCCAGGGAAGTTCTCCATAGAACACTCAGCAGCTTCCCAGGTGGGTCCTTCAGGGTCAGAGTCTCCGCTGATTGGTCGGCGCCAGGGCAGGTGCTGGGGGTTGATTGTCTGCTTTTGCTGCTTTTCTGGCCCTGAAGCTAAAAGACAATTGAGGCTAGATGTTAGCCTAGGGAGGAAAGGTCAGGGGTCTCAACTGGATGAGCAGAGGCATGGAAGGCCAGGGGGTCCAGAGTGCATGAGCAGCGTATGCCAAGGGAGGGAAGCTCACCCCGGGGAGGAAGTCCCACCCTACACCTGTCCGTTGCCAAGCACCCGGGGCTTTCCACCCGGTGACCTTCTGTAGCTGGCCCATCGTCCTCGCTCTGCCCACGTCTAACTGCCCTCCACACTGCTCTGCAGAAGAAGCAGCGAGTCCCTCTAACCTAAGGTGACCAGACGTCCCGCTTTTGGCGGGACAGTCCCGATTTTTAACAATTGGTCCTGCGTCCCTTGGCTTTTTAAAAAAGTCCTGATTTTTGGAAAGAATCTTTTTGGAAAGCGGGACGTCTGGTTACCTTACTCTAACTACCTCTCGGCATTGAAGTCCGTGGAACCTTTTAGCGTTCTCTCATACATGTGGTGCATGTAAAACTAGCCCACAGCTCATGTGCAACCTGACAGCTTCCACAGAACCTCTGCGCAGGCACCTCGGCTCACCCTGCATGTTCCCAAGGTGATGAGTTGTCTGTGATCTGACAATGAGAGCAGGAGTCAGTTACTGGGAGTCACTGTCCCCTCTGTGCTCCTAGGAGTGTTTGAGCTTAAATCTATTGTCCAGGAAATACCCCTTAAAGCAATCCCCTGATTCACAAGAGCGCAGTGGTCTGCCCACATCCGGCCATTATTCAGCAGAGCGGCACTGGCCTGCGGGAGCAGCTGCTCAGCCATGTGCCTGGGAGCAGCCGCGAGTCGCCTTCCTCCCATGTGGCCTGCGCACTCCACCACCTTTGGCACATCTGACTCCTCCCCGTGCCGGAGCCCTCAGATCCTCCTCCTCCCCTGGCACATTCCCTTATAGCTTGCCGGCTGCCCTAGGAGAGACTGAACTGAAACACGGGATTCCTAATTGCTGAGGACAGAAACAGTGTTGCTAGCCTTGTCTGCTGCACTTCTCTCCTTAAACATTCCTTTGTGTACTTTGTATCTCACCGGCTCCAGATTGGGAAGAAAGAAAAGGAGGGAAGAAGCGATTCCACCTCAGCCACTACACTGCCATATTCCTCGCTTGCTAGTATGTTGATGTATTTACGTGTATTCAGCATTCTGGGTTGTCTGGAAGGTTCTAGCGCCAGTACAGTCCTCAGAGGACATTGCAGTTGCCTGTTAATGGACGCCCTGTCTCGCAGCGGCACCACAGTCAGAGCTGTCTGAGCTCAGTTCATAGATTGTGAGGGTGGAGAGGAGCCTGAGGGACCATGGGGTTAGGCTGGGACCAGAGCCCGTGCCTCCTCTCACCGCCTGGTCAGCCTCGGAGCTGCCGCAGGGCCTCCCCTCCCCTGGGTGAGGACAGCCCCAGAGGGCAGCCTGGGCGCCTGCCATGTCCGAGCACGTGGACTGCACATCTGGAGTTCTAGTAGGAGGGGTCCCAGAAGCATGAATTACTATTCTTTCCCGAAGTTCCAACCAGCAAACATTCATCACATACCTGACCAGGCGCTGTCCCTGCCCCGAGGGGTCCAGTCTAGTCCAAGACCACGTTGTAAAGCAATCACTTACTGTGGCTGAAGCAGGACACTCATTCATTGGTTCAAGACCCAACCTCAGAGGGAGCGCACAGTGCGGATCCCTCCCCAGCCACGCGGGGTTCTGGGTCTCTGAGTGTGTTTTCCACATGGATACACAAATGTGTGGTCACATCCATTTCCTCCTGTTGGTTCTTTTTACGGAAGTGGCACTTTATTCTAACCCGTCTTACTCTCTGTTCTGCACGCTGTGGATGTACCAGGGTTTGCCCGGCGGGTCCCTTACCTTCGGTAGTTTTAGGCGGCGTGGCGGGGGCAAGGAGCCGGGAGCACAGGACGCCTGGGGTCCCAGAGCACGCCTCACCCCGGGAAGCAGGGAGGCGTCTTCGCAGCTGCGGGCTCAGGCGGAAAGGAGGCAGCACGGGGCCGGAGGAAGGGCACGGGCCAAGGTCAAGAGGCCTGAAATGAACTCCAGAGTGCGCAGGCCCTGCCTGAGTGGCCCCGGCTCCTGAGGGCCAGCTGAGTGTCACAGGACACTTGTCACTGCCTGATGGCCGCCTGGTGCCCTGTGCTTCGAAGCCCGGAACCGAGGCAGAGGCCTCGGTCATGGAGCAACACATTCTCGTTTGGGAAACAAAGGTCATGTATGTCAGGTGGTCACTAGGCTTACCATGGCGATCACATCCTTGGGTCTTGCCATGTGGAATAACTATGTCGTGCAGCCTGCAGGGCTGGCAGTTCTGGAGAGGAGGCCGTGGGGCAGGCAGTGTGCAGGGCCAGAGGCTGATGGGGGTGGCGCCCGGGGCCGCCCCACAGGTGCCGGCAGCCATGTGACCCGCAGAGCCCTGCAGCAGGCCCCCTGTGGCTGCCCCGGACACTGGTCCAGGGGGTAAGCGCCTCCCGGATCCCCGTCTGAGGGGCAGAGCCGAGTCCTCGCTCTGGTTTGCCCTTCCTGTCGGTGAAGGGAAGCTTCAGACAGCCAGTGTCGGTCTGTCAGGTCTCTCAGACTCAAGTCCCTCGATGGTCCCTGCCGCTCTCTGCATCTCTTCACTTACATTCCTCCTCCTCCTGAAGAACACGGTTACAGGAGCTTTCTTTCCTTTTGGGTCCAGAGCTGAGAGCAGACTGTGGCAAAGCCAGTCCAAAGCTCACAGAGGAACCAGTCCCCGCTCTTACCAGAACCAGTCCCCGCTCTTACCAGAACCGGGACCGCGCAGCGGGTTTAACGGGGCCTCCGCCCTCCGCCTGCTGAGCATCCTGAGTGCTCATGGCCGGCGGTGCGGGCTGGCTCTCCGGGGTCAGCTGGTCTCTCTCGTCCCCGGTTTGCCGGTGCACGCGTTTGTGGCGCTCACTGACCACGGCCGATGCTGAGGCAGGAGGAGGGGTGTCCGTCATACATCTGGGAGCTGGCAGGCATCCGGGGCAGGGCGGTCTCAGGAGAGGCCTGAGGGAGGGCGCGAGCTGAGGAGCTGTCGGGAGGCGTGGAGGTCGGGCAGGTGCCGGTTCGTCCAGGTGCGTTCTCCCAGCCTCCGTTCTCTTCCTCTCACTCGCAAACAGAACGGAAGTGGAGTTAATACATCAAACAGACTTCATTCAGAGCACGGGCATCTCCACGGTGCAGCCTAGAAGCCGCAGCCAGCTAAGTGGAAAGATGTCCTAGAATAGCGCACACTCCTTTGGCAAAGGTCATGTGTGTCAGAGGTCGCGAGACTTACCGTGCCGATCACATCCTTGGGTCTCTCCATCATGCTGAATAACTATGTTGTGCACCTGAGACAAATACAATATTGTGTATTAACTATATATTTAAACATGTTTTATTGATTTCAGAGAAAGGGAGGGAGAGAGAGGCATCAGTGTGAGAGAGACATCAGTCACACCCTCTCCTGCACTCTCCCTATTGGGAATCCAGCCTGAAACCCAGGCTTGTGGCCTGACTGGGTATTGAACTGGCATTCTTTGGCACACAGGACCTGGCCGGAGCTTATTAACGATATTAATCAAAAAACAAATCAGGAGACAGGCAGCATAAAAAATAATGCATGCACATTGATTATGTGTTCATTGGAGTCCAAACAGGACAGAAAGTCCCTGCCATTGGGATTGCCACTCTAATGGAGGATGCAGAAAAAATTCTTCAGGAATTTTCAGGATGCAGGAACTGGCACGATCTCCACAGTGTTTCGACATGAGAGGGAGAGAGCGTGCTTGATAACCAGGAGCTATAGGCAGGGTCTTCTGCGGGTCCACAGACCCAGTACCTACATCTGCCAGGTCCCCTGCCTGGCACAGAGGTAATGAGACCTGCTCCCGCCCTGCCCTTAAGCGCACAGGCCGGCTCACTTGGACACGCCTCCGCCTCGTCCTGCCGACCCGCTCCTGGTGGTCCTGGACCCCTCCGCCTGCACACCTGGCGTTCTGTGGCCTCGTTTGCATTAAGCCTCCCTGGGCAGTCGCTGTCCCTTGTTTCTGTTGCTCTAATCGCAGTGCTAATGGTCATTGTTCCAGGAAGCTGCAGGAGGGCATGGTGACAGCATCACTCCTTCCGTTTCAGTTCTAGGCGCATTTCTGGCAAGTTTTGTTAAGCAAAAGTGAAAGTTTGAAGTGTGTTTCCCATTTAGTTAAACAATAAAAAACACCCTGTTGCTAAATCAAAAAGTGTGGGTCCACAAAGTACTTTAAGAGAGTAACAGACCTGTTAGAGAATTGGTGAGTATTAGTTGCTAAAACAGATTTTAAACTTGAACACTAATAACTGTCTCCTAAAACGGTAAAGGTGTGTGCAGTGTCCACGGGCCTGTGCCCTGAGCAGACGTCTGTGGAGAGGGTGGGGCAGTGGGAGGTGAGGACACCGAGACCAGGCCTTCCCCGGGGAGAGCCTGTCGTCCGGCCCGGGGATGGAGGAGCATGGTGGAGGGTGACCTGGCCATCAGCAGCCAAGACGCACATGGGCACTGCAGCTGCCACAGATGTCTGACTGCCACCCCAACGGGCACATGCTGCCTTGCCCACTGGCCACATTGCCCAGACAGGTGGGCGGGATCTGGCCGGGGCCTGAGAGCTGCCCTGTCAGGGATGGAGCCTGGATTCAGGCCTGGTGCCACTGTGCGGGGCCGGGAAGATGCAGAGAGTGTACTGGTCTCCTGCCTCAGAGTTGAACCTCCACCGTCCCCTCCCCCCCTGCATTTCCAAGGCCATGTCCTGGTTTCAATGGAATTGCTCTCAGCATTATTATTGGGTTTTTAGTCTCAACTTCCTGCTGTTTCTCATTGAAGCAAGTAATTCTGTTTTAAACATGTTTGGGCCAAAAACTGGCCATAAAATTTCCTTCTGCCCCATTTCTCCTTCCTTGACTCCCTTGAGCCTGGTGTGTGAAGAGGAGGGTCCCCCATTTTCTCTAGAGCACCTCCACCAGCAGAGACTCCACACAACCTGCCTGCACTCCCAGAGTCTAGAAACTTCCCTTACAGGGGTATTTGCTGTAGTATGTTTTTGCCTTGTAAGAATTTTAGTGTTTGCGTGTTTAAAAATTTTCATTCCACTTTCCATATATGTGCTTCTTAAGAAAAACTCACTTTACGTGCTGTGATCACTTTGGCTTTTTTAAGTCCACCTTGTCTAGAACAGAAAAAACAAACACAAAACATTAATCAATTTAAAAACCCTGGGTTTGTGGTCCATAGTTAATGTTCGAATGCTTCCTTTGTTCCGAAAGCTTGTAAACTTTTCTGTATGTGGTTGAATCTACACAGTTCCCCGTGTTGAGCACTGATGTACAAGGAATAACCCGAAATCAGGAGAAGCAGACCTGGTGGGAGAAAGCCCTGTACTCGCCCCTTTTCCCCGCGTCAGAGTGCGAAGGTAAGGAGACGCTGCCAGGTCTTCCCCTCACGTTTCTCATCCGTTAAGAGCAATACATTCTTTTGCTCTGAATGTCAGTCCAAAACATACGTGGTGTCCATGTGGCTGGCATGTCAGGCACTGGGGATATGGATGGAGGAGAGCCGGTCCCTGCTCTTGCACTCGGCCACAGCCTGGCGTGGGGAAGGTATGGAAACGCACCCGCAGCCTGGCCTTTGCCGAGGCTGTGCCGGCCCCCAGGGAACTGCGGGAGGAAGTCGCCCTCGAGGCCTGCAGGAAGACGCAGGTGGGGAAGCCGGGAGGCCAGTGCCTGAAAAGAGCGGCTGCCCAGAAGCCAAAGCTCTGTGGCAAGTCCGGGGCCCGGCAGGGCCGCAGCCGAGGCCAGGAAGGCAGGCGGAGGAGCGTGCCGGGTGTGGGAGCCCTGCTGGGTCAGGCACAGCTGACTGTGCGGGAAGGAAGGCCACCCTCAGGAGTTCACGGGGTGTTGGGTCCGGGATTACAGCAGTCCTAGCAGCAGGTGCAGATGGAGCAGAGAGGCCGAGCGCCTGAGGTTCCTAGGCCCTCCCGGTGTAGCACCGCGGGCAGCAGGGAGAGAACGGCCTTGGAGGCTTGCAGAGGGTGCTAGAGCTTGTTGAGTGACTTGCTGTGAGGACTGAACAGTAAGGAGAGCTTGGGGAGACCCGGGAGAGGAGAGATGGGACCAGGAGGTTTGGTGGAGGTGGTTACATTTATGAGCCTCCTAGGTAGACCCACCCAGGAGCCATTCAGACCTCAGTTAGAATTCTGGGAGACGTGGGCAGGAAGGAGGCCCCCTAAATGGACCAGCGCAAGAGGCTGAGCTCGTCCCGGTGCCGCGCCTCCCGGCGTCAGCCCTGCGGCGTGTAGCTCCTTTGCTAGTGTGCATGTTCACGCCTCGTCTCCCACTGTTTGTAATGAGGACGCAGCGCCGTCTGTCCCTCGCTGCCCAGATGCCGCGCCCCTGGGTGCTCAGGGCCTGCACTGGCCTTCAGCCTGGCCTCGGCCGACGGGGAGGCCAGAGTGTTTGCTGTCTCTGTCTGTGAGCACAGAAACGCCTCCCAATCCCTGCCTTCCTCCTTCCCAAAGGTTTGCCGAGTCAAAAGGAGAGCCCAGAGCAGGGCTTCATTTTGAGCGTCCGTTTTATTTGACAGCGTTTAGTAAAGGCTGCTTTGCCGGGAGCTAAGGTCTGGGTTGCCCTTTAATAACCAGGTGCTCTCAATATCTTCTCTGGTATACAGCTCCCACAGAAGCCTTGTGCAGTGTCACCCGTTTTCAGGCGGGAGGCTAATTCTCAGATTCCATAACGTCTCCCCGCCGTGCCAGGGCCTCGCTCTCCGCAGCCGGAGTCTGCGCTCGGTGTCGGAGACGCTTGGGCAATAGGAGCACAAACCTGCCTTGACTGGTGTCTAGTCTGGCCCCTGGGTTTGGGTTACAGGGGTGCAGTAGGAGGGCCGAGTGCCCCGAGCAATACAGCAGGGACCTCCCGGAGGGGCCAGGTGGAGCGAGGGATGGGCCGCAGGCAGCTGGGAGTCAAGAAGCCCATACCTGTGAGGCTGAGAGTGATGCTTAGACACAGGGAGCCTCGCTTTGTTAGCGTGCCCTGCCCAGTTGCCTCTCCCCAGCTATGAGGGACCTAGTCTGCCTCTCACACCGGGTCCTGTGTCTGTACGCCCTCGGCAGGTGCTCACGTGGTTGCTCGTGCATTTTCACCGAGACATGGCCACAGAGAAACTCTGAGTGGGTGCGGAATGGTGACCGGGCTTTTGAGTGATCTTTAACTCCCAAGTGTGAGTTAGCTCCTGCAAAAGCTGCCTGTAGTGGCGTTTGGAAGCGTCTTTCTTTCCTCTAGGGCAGTGGCTGGCAAACCGTGGCTCGCGAGCCACATGCGGCTCTTTGGCCCCTTGAGTGTGGCTCTTCCACAAAATACCACGTGGGGGCGCGCACATACAGTGCAACTGAAACTTTATGTTCCAGCCGAAACCGGTTTGGCTCAGTGGATAGAGCGTCGGCCTGCGGACTGAAAGGTCCCAGGTTTGATTCCGGTCAAGGGCATGTACCTTGGTTGTGGGCACATCCCCAGTTGGGGGTGTGCAGGAGGCGGCTGATCGATGATTCTTTCTCATCGATGTTTCTAACTCTCTATCCCTCTCTCTTCCTCTCTGTAAGAAATCAATAAAATATATTTAAGAAAGAAAGAAAGAAACAAACAAACAAAGAAAGAAACAAAGAAAGAAAGGAAGGAAGGAACTTCTTGGTCCATGCACAGAAGTCAGTTTTCTGCCTGGGCGAGTCTATTTGAAGAAGTGGCGTTAGAACACTCAAGGGGCCAAAGAGCCGCATGTGGCTTGTGAGCCGCGGTTTGCCGACCACTGCCCTAGGGAGTGGGCTGTCATTTCAGGAGGTTGGCTAGGGAAGCAGGTGGCCCCTCCTCCACTCGGCTGGTGGCAGCTCCTGACCCTCTCAAGCTGCTGCTGATGACTGACAAGCTCATGCTGCTCCTCCAGGGGCTGACCTGGGAGCACTCAGCCTCCTGGGGAGGAGGGTCTTCCCACTCACAGTGAGGCAGCTTGTCCACATGCCCGGAGCAGCGTGGGAGCCTGGCTGGCGTGCGCTCTGCCACCTGCCGGCCTTGCTGTGCATTCATATCCATTCAGTAAATATTGCTTGCATGCCTACCTGTGCCAGGCACTGTTCTAGGCACTGAGGGCCAGAGGCCACCGACCGAGTCCCTCACCTCCTGAGGAGCTGACATTGGAGCAGGGACCCGAGGGAATAAGGATGCAAGCCCTGTGACAGCTGGAGCTGCTGGGGCACAGGTGCAGGCAGAGGCCGGGCTGCAGCGGGATGCATTGTGTGCCCCAGCATGCCTAGCAAGGGGGCCCATGCGGACTCAGACCCCAGAGCCTTGCCGGCTGTGCACGGCGTCAGTCAGTCCTGCGGCGGTCTGTCCTGGCTGCGATCCCAGAGCTCACACACTGGACTCTGAGCTCATTGGCAGCGTGTGTGTGACGTTAGCCTAACGGGAGCCTGGAGGAGCCAGTACGATAATAACTAAGGGCTCGAACACTGAGTTGGAAGCGAGTGCCTGCTACCAGCTCCTGGACCTTGGCAATGACCCGACCTCTCTGTGCCCCATGGCCTGTATTTGTAAAAAGAGGTGGGAGCTAAGCCTCCCTGACAGGGTAGCTGTGAAGAGAAGAGTCTAGAACAGACTGGCACAGATACAGCCCGGACATGCAGCACCAACGTGAGGTCGTGGAAACACGGGCAGCGATGACATCTTTTCCTGGGGCGTCACCACCCCCTTTCGTCCATAGCGGGTTCCTGGGGAAAGCGAGGGGTCGGGCGCACAGACCCTCTCCTCTAGGTGTGTCCCAGTGCCACCACTCACCTCCCCCGGTACCAGTGCTGACCCGGGGGTGGGCCTGGGAGATGGGACTTGGTCAGGCCGCCCAGGAAAAGGTGGCCTCCGAGAGCGGGTGACGGGTGTCCCCGCCTCATCAGAGTGCGAGGCAGCGGGAGCCAATGCCCGAGCCGGGGCTGGGTCGTGCCCTTGGGGAGGTGTTACCGGGCATGCCAGCGCTGCTCAGGGCACACCACCCAGAAACCTGGAGATCCGTGTGCTCCTGTGTTAGCGATGAGGGCAGCCCAGAGAGGCCCAGCCAGCCTCCCCTCTGCCTCACACGTGGCCACCCAGGAACCAGTCTGATCGACTATCCTGGGTCCTGGTTGCTTTCACAACCTACACTTGGACCTGTGAGGCCTGCAGTAGGCTACGGCAAGGACAGTGTGCCAGCGCGGCCTCGGGATAACGCCAGGCAGGGCCCAGGTGGCCTTCCTTCGGCACAGCCCCCTCCCCCAACCCCGGCCTGTCCTCTGCTTCTTTGGAGAGGCAGCCGTCTTGTTGAGCACCTAGGGGCTGATGCTTGGTGTGTCAAAGGACCTCCACACAGTGACTTCAACAGCGGCCCAAACCCAGCTGCCCGGGCCCACTCCCTGCACCTCCTCCAGCCTGCTCCACATCCTACTGCGCATCAGCTCCCCCTGGGGAAAGAGTCACCTCTGACTGCAAAATCAAAGCCAATAAAAGTATATGCAAACATAAATACTGGAGAAAGGGAGTCCCTGGGAGCTTTTCTGGAAATGCTAATCCGCAGGCCCTTCCCCCACCAGCTGAGTCAGAATGTTAGTGGGCTGGGCCTCCCGCCCTCCTGCAGCCCCGAGTGTGGGCTCCAGGGCCCTGGGACACACGCCTACTTCCTCTGACTTCAGCTTCCGATCCCTCTGTGGCCGCTACCCTCCCCAGGTGAGAGGAATGTGGGTAATCTGTGTGGAGTTGCTGAAGAGCAATAAGGACGTCCCTGCTTTGACTTCTCATCCCAGTTCCTCCTGTCTGACCCTTTGTCCATCTGTTAGCGCAGCACACACAGGCCCGTGGTCTCCCTCCGTGGCAGGCTTGGACCTCGCGTCTTTTTCCTGCGTCCCAGGGCCCACCTCGGAGGTGCTGCGGGTCCGTCCCACCACTGTGTGAAGACTCACAGGAGAGCCAGTGGGAATCGTTTTGCTGGCGGAGGGTCTTGCCTTCCGTTTGTTGTTTTGTTGTTTTTTAAAGTAAATCAGTGACATACAGTGAGATGAGGCGTGGCTGTGTGCGTGATGGAGTGGATGTGTCCCGGTAGGACAGCAGGAACCCAGGGTGATGCTGGCCTGGTTTAAAAACCCAGTCTGTGACAAGTGTTTGCCTCACATGCCCTGGCTGGCTCCTTAGTGACACGAACCCCGCCCCCTGGGTTGGTAGCCTAACTGATGTGACTTTCAGCAGAGAATGAAGCAAGGCTGTATGTGTCATATCTGTGTCTTAATGGAATTTCCCCCTTTCCCTTTTTTCCCCTCTCCACTCAAAATGAGTAAGAATGTTATACAAATGCCAAGGGAGAGCATGGTATAGAAGAGCATCCAGATGCTAAAGAGAGGCCCTGTAA